CTTTAAGGATGGCACAGTTGACGCGTGAAAAGTTTGACATTAGAACGAGCGATTTCAACTCTAGTAATTAAAATACAAATAACGTGTTTTCAGCATAACTTACTTGTAGTTGTCGGCTGGTGATAAGTGTATTAGCCGTGTTAAAACATAAGTTTTTGACGAATGGCGGCTATGCTAGGCTTTATTTAGTTTGTTCTGGTATTCCTGCTTTAGTACATGGTCGCGAAGTTGAATTCTTCAAATTTCTCACGCGGGCTTTTAAATTAAAGTGCTGCAGTATATGGTTTTCCTCCGCCTCTCGAACGGAGAACTTGCATATGTTCAGAATGCTGTCATTCAACCTCTGACTAAAACAGGGAAACCAAAGCAAATGCGAGTTATACATTCGACACTCAAGTAAGAAACTCTCTAAGATTCATTTAAAGAGCTGTTATATTTCATTACATTCTTGCTTTGACCCGGTATAAGACTTCAAATTGTCTTTTACACATGCTTCAACTAATAAATTCAAATTAATGTGTGTTTACAAAATTCACAATTCAATGTTTACACTACAAGTCTGACAGTTTAATGGCCTCTTTCAGTGTTTGCGGATGCTGTAGGAGATGTATCACAACGAGAGATGGAAATCTGATCATGAAGTCACTGATAATCAAAGAAATTTGGCTCTTTCGTTTTGAGAGATAAAAAACGAATTAACTTGGGAATTTGAACTTCAACTTTATAGCAAAGCACAAAAAGCATCTTTTTTGTTTTATAGGGGGTATAAAACCATATTCCAAGCGAAAAGCGGATCACAAATTTTTAGATAAATGTCATCAGTCGATGCTAATCCGTATTTCTATTTCTAGCGTACAGCAAGAGTCGTGAATTTTCTTCCTCGACGGTTGAAACTGCTCATATATGCCTTAGCAGTGTCTATAATTTTAAAGAATGCCTGCAGACAAATTGAAATAAAGAGCTAAATTTAAACCTGTCTTTTCAAACTAAGAATAAATTTTATTCGCTTAAGAAAATGGGCTAACATTGACGCTGTCAACTTAATGTTTCAACTGGGTTTATTAACAGCAACGTTTTCTGTACACGCTACATATTTATAACCAGCAATTAGCCTTGAATTACAGTTCGATTTAGTTTACCTCTGAATACATACAAAGATAAACACTGACTTTTAAAAGCAATTTCACAAGCCTTAGGAGTCCTCCCAGCAACACGCGAAATGTTTCAACTTGATTCATTTTAATATTATACTGGGTTTTATAAACAAGTTAAATGATAAAGTAATTTTTCGAGTCTACAAAACACACCTTCTAGCCTCCATTATGCAAAGAAATTGAAATTAGAAGTTAAATTTTTGCCAAGAGTTTACTTCGCGCTCTTAAACTAAGCTAATTTTTGTTATAGAATGCAATGGTTTAAAACCAATATTAACTCAGTGTTTATCGATCTAAGAAGAACTTCTTCCAACGAGGAATTTGGTTACGGAGTTTATATACTAATGGACCGCTTTTAAGAAAGTTCTTTACTTGTGTCCGTACATGACTCAATCGTTCTTGCAACCAAGAAAGCCATGAATACTCAAAGAGGTTTTTACCCGTTTCTCTCGCTGTCTCCTATTGCAGAACCAAACTCGAACAACCTCCCTATCCAGGCGTAAGCCTTCGGCTATGCGAATGATTTCTTGTGAAGACGGCTTGGGTTGCTTAAGGAAGTGATCCTCTAGGTGCTCTTTAGCAGTAAGCCCAATTGTCGTCCGTCTCTTTCTCCGGCGTTCTGCGTTAAACTTGTCTCCACACGCCCCTCCCGTGCATTCAGCCTCCTCGAGCCAGCGCGCCAGAATCGGCTTCAGCTTGCAAGCGTTCTTGAAGCTCAATTGGAGATTTTCGAAGCGGCAGATGGTGGTTTGACTAAAATCCGTGCCGTGGACTGTGGCTAGCGCTGCGCCGACATTTGTCTGTGTGAAACCCAGCTTGATGCGTCGGAGTTTGAACTGTGTTGCAAACTCTTCCAATTCGCGTAGTTTGGACGTGTCGATGGCAAAACCTAGGCCATGCGAAGCTCCCATGCCGGGGTCGCTGTCAAAACTCCCTATAGGGTTGAGAACAAATGGAGACGCGACATGAATGTTGGCTCGAGGGTCCATCTTGCTGCAGTGAGACACAGGCGGTAGAGACGCTGGGTGCGAAGGCATCATCGTAATCGGTGTTTCTCGAACCATTTGCTGAAATGGCGCGTATGACACCTCGGTTGGATACGGTGGACAGGCCATCGCTGATTTTAACCTCTCCTCGTCTTGTTGCCGGAATGAAGGCGCAAATCTCTGTGCAGTCATTTAAACTAAGCTCCGTACGCTGCAGGCAATAATCGTAGATAACAAACACGTCCACGCGAGCTCCTTATGAGCGGAAGACATCAAGTCGGAAACACGGCAAAAGTGCCGATGTTTTAGGTTCAAAGTGCTCTGCTATCGCTGCGCTTTATAGATGAGATAAACGCTGTTTTTTGATACAGTGCGCGCTAAAAGCAAGAGTAATTTTAGGACTACAGATGAGCTGTGAAGCGAGATTGAAGAGATTTGGAGGGCGGAACGCAAATACAGTTGTTAACCTCACGCGATTCTTCAACGAGTTTCAAAATTCCTTGATGACTTGATATGGCTTTTTAAAAGTCTTTTGCGGAAGAAAAACTGCGTGAAATTTTGCTTCGTGTTTGTTCGTTTTGTGTATCAGGATAGAAAATTCCCGAGAAGCTTATCCATTACTTTGAATCACGACAAACAATAAGCTCCATGTGCTAGATATCATTCGCTCTCGAGGAAAGTGCGTTTACAGTTCATTGTATCCGTAATATGGTTCTTATTGCTCTTAAAAGTTAATTAGAACTTGCAATCGGAAGTTAAACACCATTCAAATTTAGTTGGGGATTTCATAACTCGAGGCGAAGTCGCCGATCAGTTTGGTGTGAGTTAAGAAGTTAGATTCCGTGCTTTTTCATATCGGATTTACTCAGCGCCGGTTTTCTTTTTTATCTCTTCCTCCCAATATTGGCGAAAGAAAGATCGATAGTTATTTGTAATTGAAGAATTTGCAGCTCAAAATAGCAAGACTTCTTTCACAATGGCCAACAATAAAGAACGGTTTGGTGTTTTTCCTTTTTCACAGATCGACCTCGGATAATTTAAAGACAAAGAAATTCTCTGCTTGCGCGTCAAATGATAACCAGTTGAAACCCATAGGCACAAATGTTTCCATATTAATGATTCCCAACGGAAGATGTTTAAAGATAAACGGCTGAGCTCGTTCAGGTTTGGATAAATCATTAATGGACTGCACTCATTACGCCAAACTTACAAAGATATACCGAGCTGGCTAATGAATTATTTCAATTATTATAAATGCCGTTTTAAAATTCTTGTTAAGCCCCCAGACAGTGCAATTAACCGCCTTCATTAGTCCATAACAAAATTTAAATAGACACTATTTATTGTTTAGACTCATAGAGTCTCAAAAGATAATTCAAAAATTTCCAATCTACAGTTAGTCATTGTTAATCGCACGAGGCAGAATTAATTTTCCTTTTGTCGAATATAATCGTGATTGTCATGATATATTGCTAGTTTTCAAAAAAGAAACATCACGGATTGATAAGCGTGCAATTGATTGATCCAAAAACCGTGTCCATTTGAATGGTCAAACCTTAGTCATCTATATCGCCGGAACTGTTTTTTTTTTCCAGACTGAAAAAGCCTATTTTGCTAGAAAATTATTGCAACTGACAGTTCCAATTCTAACATTTTTTCCGGTTTTTCTAAAAGAACAGAAAAATAAATTAAGTTGCACTGATCCTGGTGTCAAAGAAGTCACGACAAAGACACGAGAAAGGAGGTAAAAACGAAATTTAAATTTGAAATTATCCATCGTCGGGGGCCAGCTTTAACAAAATGAATATTACTGAATGTATAACCTTGGCCGAGGGAACATGAATGAAAAATGATGGCTGTTCAATCAAAAATGCAGTCATTAAAGTAGAGTTGTGCTGCGATTTCGCCAAAAAACTGCATGGGGAGGATTTTCCAGATGTTTATAGCGCACTATCGTTGTAACGTGCTGCGATCTTCACGAAATTTAATGCTGCCAATTGTATTCATTACAAGAGAAGAATTTTTGATGGGACTTTCACTAAGATTTCAACAAAAACAAATTGTTCTGTAATAAGCGCAGGGTAGTAAGTGCTGTATGTGGAGTCCACTTCCATTCCCTATTCCTGACTTTATCTGCCTAGGTTAACACAGGAGTGCTTCATATCAGACACAATGGGTGCTTACCATTTGTCAGAATAAACCGCTCGGGATGACCGTTGTATAATGGTAAGGGTTTTTCCAAAATCAGCAAACCAACCGAACGAGATGGCGCTTACCATTTGCAATTCGATTTCTCGTAATTGTTTTCGGCTGATGAGAGACTGGAAACTGGAAAATTTACCAAATAGTAAGGAAATTTCCGCCGTTCCGTTCCGAACGGAAAAAGAGGACTACTTCTGAGGGTAGTCTACAATTTGCGAACGGATTTTCCAGAAAATTACTGTTCCATTTGACTTTCAACCGAATTTCCGGATTTTTTTTGCTAAATGGCAAGCACCCAATAAATCTCTTTTAGGGTTGTTTCTCTCTTTCGGCCTTGCACGTTTGAAGAATAATTCCTCAGAAAAATCAAGAAAACATAATATTCCACAGTCTCTTTGAACTGAATTTTATTCCATATAAACAGACGGCAAGAACTTTTGTGTTATGAGAATTAGCCTTTAATTTTTTGACGTGTTATAAGAACTTTTAGACAGGGGTTAAGAACTTTTACATGTCTATTGAGAACACAAAATGTCGGTTTAAAACGCTGCTGTTGTGGCGAGGAGAAACGTATCAAGATTTCTTTCTAACGAGCTAGACCATTGCACTGTCTTTTTGTTGAAGCTAGTAAAAAGCAAATGTTGTTAAATGAGCCAATCAGCAAACAGAAATCAAAACTTCCCCACGTGGGAAGGGATCATTCAAACTGACAGGTCCTCATCGTCCCGCAAATATCACTAAAAACCTGAAAGGAGTGGGAAAAAATTCACAGAACTCACCTTTAACTCTTTGAAGAGAACGTACTAATTTGGCACAAGATTGTACATTGTTTCAACGTCATTTCTTTACGGTGTATTATTGACAGCCAGTGACGCCACACGATCGAAAGCCCGTGCGCTTGTTCAACGAGACCAGCCAATCATAGAACAATCGTAACGCACGTGGAACGGGAGTAAAACGAGGCGCTGTTTTTGAAACCTTCAGCGACAATCAACTCAGCTGGTTCGACGCATTCTTAGTCAAGAAGCTGGCCATTTCCGCCGTTCCTTGCCGAATTATTTGACGAGGAAAATGGCTTCAGCAGCATTATTCAAGTATACAAGCAAACTGAGGCAAACCGTGAGTTCATGTGTGGTGTTCTAAATGTTGAAAGAATTACCTCGCCATTGTAAAAATATCACATGGTTTCATGTGGAAAAATCGAACTGTCTCTTCGTGAAAGCGTCTTATCTACATTGATGCAGTGTACAAACTTGTTTGCAAAGATTAGGGAAAGATTTCCGTATAACCCCATACATTTATTATGCATACAGTTCTTTGTTTAACTAAACAATAGAGTAAACAATAGCGCTCCTTTGAGACTTATTTGATTTGAATAACTCTAAATTTTACCATTTTTTTTAAGTGTCGCATACTTTTGGACTTAGATGTTTTTTTCCAGTTTTCTATCTAAAATACGCAAAAATGGAACGATTTC